GAAAGAAAGAAAGAAAGAAAGAAAGAAAGAAAGAAAGAAAGAAAGAAAGAAAGAAAGAAAGAAAGAAAGAAAGAAAGAAAGAAAGAAAGAAAGAATGAGTCGACTAGGATATCCTCGTCATCTACGCAGGCACCTGAACTGTTGGAACCCACCCGACCACTAGAAGAAGCAGTTTCAAGGAGGATGGTCAACACTCGCCTCACTAGTGCACCGATCAGCATGACCCGAATGGGCGTAGATCTTTGAGACTGGAAGCATCTCGTTTGTTTTAGGTCTCTGACCTGATCGGAGGGTCACAAAAATAAAAAAAAATAATAATAATAATAATAAGGGAAAGAAAGGGAGGAGAAGAAGCAGAATTGAAAGACCTGGGCACCTACCAAGCAAATTAGGTGCTTCATGATATTCACTGTGTTCGTTGAAAATCAGTAGTTCATCCATTTATTATTTGCTTGGAGCCGGCCGATGCGGCAAAGCATCTTGCAGTACATCTAGTACATACACAGAGGGTACGCCACATGCAGCTTCGGAGTGGATGGGAATTTTAAGACTGGCTGCAGAAATACGCAGGGTGCCCGAGAGCTCCGGGACTGAAGACGCCTAGAGTCGAGAATATTGTGTCCTAGTAATGAGACAAAGTGCCATGGATCATTCGGAATCAGCTCGTATACCCGACGCATGCACATAGCATGAGAGAAATGCATGTATATGGAGTATAGATGGCACTGTCTTGAGGACAACTATTTTGCATTCAACCTCCAATGGGAGGGTTCCCTGAGTATGGCCACAGTAAAAGAAACCCTGCGGGTGACAGAAGTACCGTAAAGTTATGACAAGGGTTCGCCGGCAGAGCTACTGAACGGACCGTCCGCAGCCGATCAATAGTGTGGAAATACGAACTTCATAGTATCTCATTTGCTGGAAGGGCCCCCCTTCCCTTTGGATGGATTCCTTGGCGTCACCCTTTGCGACAGCCGCGGCTGGCGAGGAATGTCTACCACAATGCCTAATACATACTTGGATACGTACCTAAACTCTTACGGAGTAGACGACCTCTGAGCTAGTACGTAGACTCTTACCTTGTCAAGCAAGAACAAACGAGCTCCATGGGTGGATGTTGTCCAGTCTAATTGATTTGCTCCACACAGGTTTCCAAACTTCTTACTACGTAGTCACGCGTCACACATTCGATCCACTGCGAGTCATGGCGGTCTGACTCTAGTCCCATACGATTCGGCACCCCTTGACCGAGCTTCTACGGAGTAAGTATACTGTGTGTGTGTATCCCAGCGTCCGATCATCTATTGCCTTTGACTAATACAGTTGGGAAAGAGCAAAAGAGACTGCTGTCCCCACCCCTCCTCACCACACACGCACGCACGTTGACCGTGGCCGTCTTAGCCGTTGGAGGCCTTCCACTACCTTGGTAGGTTAGTATATTATTGTCCATTTCCTGTAGTACTCTCCATGCATTGTTCTTTAACCCCATGAATTGACACTTTTGGACAAGAAAATCAATCATGATGATAATAGAATATATGACGGAGGGAGAGACAGGCGGAGAGTGAAAGAAGCTAGGTGCAAGGAGAGCTTGTGGCTGCAAAAACTTACGGGTAACGCATTTTGACTGGTAGTAATAAGGAAGATGCTAACCATTTCAATCATTCCCCCGTCGCTGTAGCGGGCCGGGCCTTCTTCACCATGATGATCCATAGATCGATGCGTCATTGCACCTCTTGGTATATCGATAAACTCATTAGGAACATGTGTAAATAGAATACGTACAAGGAGAGATCCAAGATGAACGCGCGGTCTTAAAATTATCATCATACTTAAGCCCGCATAAGGTAAATGTTAAATAGTAGTGGGTATGTCACTCATTGACTTGCCAAAATTGATTGGGCCAGATCTAGAGAGTAATCCTGGTACCCTTTGATTTTTTCACACTTTATTACTGGCCTGAAGCAACACGAGGCGCTAAAGGGGGGGAAGAAACAAAAACAGAAACAAAATCAAAACTAAAGATAAAGATAAAAAAAGAAAAGAAACTAGTGGTGCTCCAAGTACTAATTCCCTCCAAAAAAAGACGAGGGAAATTTTTACAGCGTAGATATTACACGCACAGTTATTTTACCTCTCATAACCGAGCATACATCTAATTGAATATATGTATGGATGTACGGGGTACAGTACAGTACATACAACACACAATAAAACACAAAAAGAAAAAAGGATATTGATTGACTGGATAACGGCATGCGATTTCCACCATCTGTTTAACAAAGATTTACCCAAAGACATGAAAGCAAACAGGGGTGGTGGTTGAAAACAAGATACATCACATATCTATTGGGAGGATATCATTTCGCATCATGTCATAGCGATCTACCAACAGGGGCTTTGAATCCTGAGCCTTGGTTCAGGCACCGCAGGACCCATCATAGAGTTGATCTATTCTGCTTAGTCCTGGAGGCAAAATGGGTAGATGATTATGGCTAGGTGTACAATGGAATGACGAATGATCGCTTGATAGAGCTCTTCAACGACTCACATAGTATTTGTAATTGCATGCTAACTCGACAGGGAAAGGGCATGCATGATGTTTGCTCCGACCCATATTCCGGAGGATATTGCATCTATTCCCCCCGAGCCCTTGCAGTGCGTTCGGAACGCCATATGTAGTTAGCAATGTCATAGCTTTCACATACATCAATTGCACGGGTCGTTCGTGACCTTAGCCTCCTTCCCGCCTGCGCTTCCGATGGAGGAGAGGACAATCCCATTATCTACTAGATTGTTAGGTTTACCAAAGGGGCAGTCTATTATAGATAGCTTCTTTGTTCAACAGACTTCGGAGCGAAAACTGCTGATCACAATTACTCAAGTTGAAGGGTAAATAAAAAGGAAAAAGAGGGGAAAGAAAAGAATGAAAGCGGTAAAACAGACTGCGTTTTTCATTCTTTTCTTCTTGCCGACATTTCAAGCGGATCAGCGCGGCATTGAATTCTCTCCGCCTGTAAGATAAAAATACCTATTTCCCAATAGCCGCCCATAGCCCCGAAAATTCCACTGCTAGACAGAAGCTGACTGGTGTATGCACCACACCTATTTGATTTGATTTGATTTAGTATTTTTTTGATTTTGATTTTTTTATCCATACCCCCCCCCCCCCCCCCCCCCCCCCCCCCCCCCCACCCGGGCCCTTGTGATGGACTCCTCAGCTAGTATTCAACCTAAGCTACGCTGTAGAATGACCAAATCCCTCGTGATCGTCAGGGCTTGCCAGAGGGCTAGTAGGATTGCTAACCTATTTTTAATTCTTATTTACCTGGTCGCTTTATTGAATCATAATCAGGACTAATATCCATGATCTGATCAATGGCGCTATTCAGCATAGGGTAGCTCTTAAAGATTTTTATGCTTTGGTCGTTGATTATGACTTTTCCTTTGAGGCTTTTGGTTGAATCAAGCCTGTTTATCTGACCTATTGACTAGTTCACAATGCCCTAGGTGAACAATGCAATCATCTCATCTCACCTCGATTATGTTGAGCTGCACCACCATGCTTGTTGTAATACGAGCTATGAATACTGCCTATTCTAAACTACCTAAGGGGCTAAATTTGATAGGGCGATCGACGGCTGTACTTGGTATAGCACTGAGGGATACAGTAAAGGAGCCATACCTCACTCAACACGCTAGGTGGGAAAGCAATGCTACCTTGATACATTTTGTTAGGAGTCTTTCAGTTATCTTTATCCTTTCTCTTTGTACTTCGTACTCTTGATGGATTTTCTGTTCCCCTCTCTTTCCTTGCCTTTGCCTCTATGATGTTTTATGGCACACTCCCTCGACTTAGTAAAAGTCAAGGGACGAAAACAGGGATAGGGTTTCATTAGTACCGACTGTGCATGCATACACCAAAATTAGCCAAACATAAGGATACAGAGCTATTACTAGGCACATGTTGATAATCCATCATATCGCTCATGTTGCCTGCCATTGATTTGTATGCTGACACGGTGTCAGCTCTTTTCTTCGCCGAAGGCATAAAAAAAAAGAAAAGAAAAGAAAAGAAAAGAAAAGAAAAGAAAAGAAAAGAAAAAGAGATAGAGAGAGAAGAGAACTGAGATGATGTTTCGTAAGCCAATGTGGCCTCGGCCATCTCAGTAACAACCCCATACGAAATAAGTACAGTATAGGGTCATAAGCTCCTCACTCAATACCCGGAGTCCGCCCTTCGTAACAAAACAGAGTAAATGAAGGTCGACAGGCGCTAAAATAGATAATCTTGTATAATTGTGACGGGGTCCATCCAGCCTGTAGGGTCCAAGGCGATTTGATAGAGGTGTTTACGCTAACTCCGGTTTCTCATTCAAATGGAAGTTCGACGCGCCTTCTACAATAAGTGAGCATCCACGATACGCCCTTGGAAAATCGCATCCAGCTCCTTCAAATTCACTACCGGGCTAGTTCATGACAAGCAAAGCCCAAGATCACATGAAAGAATCCAATCAGCCAAATTACTATCCGTACACACATTGCCCTTTTTTGGTTTTGTTTTCTTTTTTCCTTTTTGTTTCTGACTTGACTTGACCCATATATCACTAATGAGGTAAATGTGGAGGTTGTGAGCGAAAGAAGAAGTGAAAACTAAATTGGCTGGGATAGGTCAAACATAGAAAGTACAAACCCATGTGCGTCGAACCTTCTCCGGAGCATCTCATCACCGTCCAGTGTATGTAGAGTACCTTAGCAAAAGGAAATGAGGTCAGAAACATCCATTCATAAAAGATGGTATCGGGAGGCCTGTCAAGCTACGGCAGCGGGGTGAATAAAGATACATACCTCCAGATTCTTGCACGCATATCACCACTACCGGTAGCGAACAAGTTGTTTGTCGGGCTGGGCGCCACCGAGATAACTACCACCAAGTTAGACGAAGGCATCGCCCGCAAGAGATTTTGATACTGACCAGAATTTTTGTGGCCTTGTAGCATCATCTGCGCATTTCCCGTGATCGGATCCCAGAACTGGACACCCCGATCCTTGGAGCCACTCATAACCCAGTGTCCGTCTGGAGTCAGGCAAACACTGAGCACAAAGTCCTAAGCCGAAAGTGCGGTTAGCATCTATATGATTTGGCTTGAGGTAAACAGCAGGCCGTAGCTGCAGTCGCGGACATTAACAAACCTTGTGGCCCTCGAAAGTCCGAATGCATTTACCACCTTTGACCCCAGTCCCAGGGAATGCACCACGGGGAACATTGAGCTCCCAGAGTTTGATGGTCTTATCAAGACTGCCACTGACTAGATCCCGGCCGTTTGGCGCGAAAGCAACCGAGTAAACACTGTCTTTATGCCCATCAGGGCTTTCCAGCCGTTCAACTAAATAGCCGGTGGTAGTGTCCCAGACGCGAACGCTCTTGTCCAGGGAGCCAGCTGCGACGTAGTGACCATCGGGTGACATAGCAACGGTGGTGACACCATCTTCAATGCTGAGGGTGTAGACAAGCTTGCCATCCAGGATATCCCATAGGCGCACAGTCTTGTCTCCGCTGCCGGAAGCAATATAGCGACCGTTTCCAGCAAAGTCAAGAGAGTAAATATCTTGCTCATGACCAGTGAAGATATGCTTGATAGTCCGAGCAGCAATGTCCCAAACCTTGAGCCCACACAATCAGCCTCCTGACCAAAAAAATCAAACAAAGGGAAACGGGAGGGCGGGTGTAAAGATGATGTTCAGAGAATACATGATAGACAACAGCTGTTGCCATTACTCGCAAGGATTAAAGGTGAATATTGCGAGTCTTGAGGGTGACAGAAGAGCTGTACTCGGACTTACCCGAATTTGCTTATCCTCGGCGCCGGTTGCGAGGAACTTGCCATCTGGACTGAAGCAAACACTGCGGATGTAAAGATCGCCATTTTTGTCCACATTCTCGTCCTGAAGGGTAGCCACATTCTGGCCAGTGGTGACATCAAAAATTTGAGCGGAACGATTGCAACCTGTTGCAAGATACTTGCCGTCCCGGCTGAAACGTACGCAGCAAACCACGCTATCATGAACGAGGTGATGTACCAGCTCGACATCCAACACACGCTGCACCTCTGGGTTGAATACAGCGTACCAATCAGCACCCTCGCGCTTTTGCGAGGCAGGTAAATCATCTGGATTCCAGTTGGCCAACATGTTACCTGGGCGGTCACGGACAAGGGCTTGGCTAGGTGGGGTAGGCCGGGCCAACTGAGGCGACACACGAGGATCAGGGTAGGCCAGTTGGTGGGCTTGCTGGGGAGTTGCTGGTCCAGGGGGGGCACGGGGTCTCTTTCCAGGTCCAGGAGAGGCGGTGGGCGGAGGCGGAGGTGCGTAGCCTGTACAAAAGATCCGCGAGTACGGGTCAGACATCAAAGAACCCACTATGAACTCAGTCACAACATACCGTTCACAGCAGCACCAGGCTGATATCCCCCAAAAGAGCTCTGCGGTGGCTGCGGCGCTCCTTGCTGAGCCGCGGGAGCAGGCTGTTGAAGGGTATGCTGGGGAGGCTGCTGATCCTGGGGAGGGGGAGGGGCAAGACCGGGACCACTACCTCCTTGGTTGGCCATGATCCCACCGAATAGATTACTGGGGCCATGGCCCAATGCGGGTGGGGGTGCTTGAGTAGGGCCAGCGTGCTGTGCTGGGCCAGCAATATGGGACGAGACAGGTTGAACACCGCGCGACTCGAGCTCATGACGGAGTACTCGAATTTCCGCTTCATAGCTGCAAAGAATTAGCTTCCGAAAAGGCCATTGTCTTTGGAAGGTAGTCTCTTAGACACGTACTCTTGCTTCATCTTGATTTGTGCTTGTTCCAACTGGTAGACCTTCTGTCGAATCATTTCCATTTCTTGGAGCTGACCGGTTACTGAAAGAATTGTTAGCAATCTATTTTATCTAATATTGAATTCCCTCATCTCTGAGTAAGATAAACGGAGAGAACTCTTAGTAATTCTCAGCGAACTATCACGCTTCATGCGACAGATGTATCGGAGGAGCCAATCATGTAAGAACTTGTAGGGAAGTATGCCTGACAGTACTGGTAATGAGGGTTGAAACGTGGCAGATCCAAATAAGGAAAGAAGAAGACAATTCAAATGCACACATACATTGATGTTCAAACTCGCCGGTGCTCCTTGATTGATTCTCAAATTCCTGGCGCAGTTGATCAAGCAACTCCGTCAAACGGGAGTTGGGAGCGGGAACCATCCCGCGATGCGTGTTATACATTGCGCGTTACGCTTAGTCTGTGTGCTCAGTAGATATTGACAAAGATCAAAGGTATATTTGAAGATAACTCAGGGCGATCAGGCGGGACCAATAAAAGGATTATTCGCGCGATGTGAGGAACGAACGGTTAGTTCGGTTTGACAAATGGGCCGACCAGAAACGACTAAAGGCTGCTGGTAGAAAGTCAATGCAGCCGCATCACAGCGCGCCCCTGGGGACCAACCGCTGTGGCAATATCGAATTAATAAGGGCGGGTGTTGTGTATGTAGCGGTAGAGACGTGGAGGGAGCTGTAAGGGGAGGATATGCAGTTGAGGTTTGGAGATGACAGTTCAAGCACGGAGATCAAGGCTGGAAATGGATGGGGGCAGGAAGGCGGCTGAAGGTTTGGCGCGAGAAGCGAGGCGATAGGCGAAGAAGCGACGGACGGGACTGGCCCCTTTTTAGCCTGGCGGGGCTTCCCGAAAGACCGTTTGCAGAGAAGGGACAGTATTAAGAGGTCCATAAGTGGATTTATGCCCATGGTAGTGACATGCGTACTCCTACTAATACCATAGCCCATCTCACAGATGGTTTCCCATAATATTTGATTTACATGATATACCTATATTCCCATAGTTTGTTACTTTCTGTAACCCTTACCGTTGTGACGATCATGATGTACCTTTTATGTTTTCTGGACGCAACTTGGCTCTCAATGATATTGCCTTAACCTTTTTGTTTATTTCTTCTACTTCCTTTATTATTGTTATTATTATTCTCATTATTTACTTTTTTTGAGGGAAAAAAAAAAAAAGGAAGAAAGAGAGAAAAGCAAAGGGTGGAGATATTATATAGTAACTTTTAGCACGACAAATGTGACATTTCTCTATTGATGAAACGCCTCAGTAGGTTGGATGCAACGTCTACTATGGTAAGAGGATGAAAAGAAGCTGTAATGTTCGGTTCTCAGTACCGAAGTTGTCCTAAGCTATTTCAGGGAAGATAGTTATGTGCTACTTGTAGAGAGGAAGTAAACCTAGACATCTATTCCTATAGCTATTTCCCTCTAACGAACCGAATTAATATTGGTAGGAATTGTGAACGGTATGCCCCCAACACTACACTCTTGGGGAATTCGTGTTTCTGTTTATATATTTACAGGTGTTGATGCAAATGTACGCGAAGCTGAGATCTACTAGTCGAATAGCCGGGCAGCTGGCAAATGCAGACGAGTATGATAAGAGTACATACTTAGTTACTTTCAACCGACAGTTTATATTTGTTGGATAATACTAGTGACTGCTTATTTCAGATTCATTTGATCCCGTCCTTCGATGTTCATGTTCCCCCCCTCTTCTTTTTTTTCTAGCTCACCATTATTAGATGAATATCTGCCTGTTATTCTGGCTGCGTGACCGTTTTTCTTTACTTTACTTTACTTTTCTTTTCTTTTCCTTTCTTTCTTTCTTTCTTTCTTTCTTTTTTCTTTTTTCTTTTTTCTTTTTTTTTTTTGGCCCTTCCCACTTAGCAGATAACTACTTCCTCACCACCACTTTCCGGACCGCGAAAAGAAGCCCGAGTTCGAAAGGTACAAAAAAAGAAAACGGGGAACGGCTGTAAGTGTTCCGCCTGGTGTGATGCCGAGCTTGATCCTTATAGGCTACTTTCCTTTTATTCATTTCCATCCATGCTTCACATCAATTTCCTCTTCTCTCCACTTTACTTAATTTCCAACCTATCCCTAAAATCCACCCTTCTGATTTACCCGACTTGACTCTCCTCTCTTCCGCTTTCTCATTCCCTTTCCAACTCTTTACAACAATTGGGACGCATTGCCAGTTAGTAATCGTTTTCTTTCGTCGGACCCGGATTATACCACCTTTCAGATTGGTTCTCAAGGGATCATGGATATCGCTCTTGAAATCTGGGACACCTTCATTGGTGACCGCTTATATGCCGCTCTTCTTCCCGTCTCCATTTCGTCCTCAGTCTCGTTTCCTGGCTTCAATCATGCGGTCAATAGCACCCTGTCCTTTTTCGGCGCATCCCAGCCCTTCATCTATGAACCGGCCACACACCTGATCTATTTGGAACCCTCGAAGTACGCGTACATGAGTGCTTGGCCCAGGAACAACATCTATCGCCAATTCCTAAGTTTCTTCTTGATTGTCTGGTATGCAAAGAACCCCTTTCGCTAAGGCTGAATCCGGTGTCTAATGGTCATTTATGGAAAAGGATATTCGGCCTTATCACCTATTTCATATCTGCAACACTGTCTTATATTTTTATCTGGGACAAGACTACCGTTAAACACCCGAAGTTCCTCAAAAACCAAATTCCCATGGAGATTGCACAGACCATGGGATCTATGCCCATCATGTCTCTTCTGACTGCCCCCTTTTTGGTCGCCGAGGTCCGGGGTTATGCGAAGTTGTATGATGGTTTCTCCGACGAACCTTTTCCGTATTACAGCATCATACAGTTCCCGTTGTTCATTGCATTCACCGATTTCTGCATTTACTGGATCCACCGCGGCTTACACCATCCATTGATCTATAAGTCTCTACATAAGCCACACCACAAGTGGATTATGCCCAGCCCCTTCGCCTCACATGCCTTCCATCCGCTGGATGGATGGTCTCAGAGTGTCCCATACCACGTATTTCCCTTCATCTTCCCACTCCAGAAGGTCGCCTACGTTTTTCTCTTCGGTTTTATCAACCTCTGGACCGTATTGATCCATGACGGTGAATATGTTGCCAACAGCCCGGTCATCAATGGGGCTGCCTGTCATACAATGCACCACCTTTACTTCAACTATAATTATGGGCAATTTACCACCCTATGGGATCGATTGGGAGGAAGTTACCGAAAACCAAACGAGGAACTTTTCCGTCGTGAGACAAAGATGGATAAGGAGGAATGGAAGAAACAGACCAAAGAGATGGAATCTATCCTCAAGGACGTCGAGGGAGACGATGATCGCAATTACTTAGTGGAAGATGAGTCCAAGAAGGACCTGTGATTAACGCTATAGGGCCTGTCATGTCACTTCCTGTCTCCCTTTTATTCAACTCTTCTTGGAACTACTGTTGACTGGCTTAGACGGCTGTTGCGAATAATATAGGTCGTCAAACCGCTCACTGGGAGCGGACAAGTTCTTTCTGTGCCCCGCTAGATTCAGAGAGCCACAACCGTCTTCTGGATGGCGCTAACAATACCCTCACTTGGCTCTTTTGCTTCTGACAGTGAGTGTTACGATATTTATGTTTTCCTAATTTGTCCTGTGGGCACGTGTATGCCATCAGGTCTCTTCCCTAGCCACATTGTTTAATACTGTTTCTAGTATATTAATTATTGCATACCTATTTTTGTATTTATAATCAGTCACTGACACATCGTGATATGGACCATTGTCAATGGTGAAAATCACTCCAAACCCCCCATGTTTATGGTTTCGTTGTACATATATTTCAATCATAATTAAAAGCAGGAATGAAAGCCATTATAGAGCAGTCTTAGCCGGTTCCCATTATCACGATTTAAACCTATGCCCAATATTTAGATGTACGTTTTACAACCTGTTGAAGACACTTGCATTGCCCAAGTGCCCAAGTACTACGAGGCCAGCTTGCTGAATTGATCCAAATTTTAATTGCACTACCTTGATTTTTTTACCAGAATACTAAGTGTACGGTCATATATAGCGTCAATAGGTATACACCTATGAGATTGAATAGTGATTTATTATTATATGTTTTGGTCAAGATTAAAGTATACATATTAAGAATGGAACCCAGTTATACTCACAGTTTGTTTTTATATGCTGCACTTTCAACATCTAGTGTTAACAATGCCCAACCCATGCAGTGGGTTTATTGAGATATGGTAGTGACTTTTGCCAAATTAAAGATCTTTCGAGATTCCTAATGCCAGCTGGTGAGTAATCGAACCAGTCCTGAACTACAGTCTAAGATGGCCTTTTCTTCTTCTCCTTTTCTTTTCATCCATTATTTGAAAAAAGAATGGAAGGAGAGAAAAACGAAATGAAAAAAGAATAAAACAAGGAAAGCATATATAATAAACAAGTATGCAGCTACCCTTCGTTTAGGAGAATGTCCAAGACAAGAAAGAATGCCGACAGAAGAGGCTAAATATGCGAAGCCTCCCAATGACCCCCAGATAAAATTCATGAGACATCCACCGCCCCATCTGCATCCGCGACGTCTAGATCTCCATCTGCTGGACCATCCATAGCCGTGGTTTCTTCCTGGGGCGGAGGTGCCATTGTTCCGATAGGAGTTGCAGTGGCCATGGCTTCAGAAATGAATGATTCCTCAACGCCGGCCTTTCGCCTGAACGCTCTCAGCCACCGGCATCCCCATTGTCTGATGATATCGTCCTCTGGTAGCTCACCACTTCCATCACCCCTTTCCATCAATTCATCGTTGTTGCCTTCGGCGACTGACACAATTGAATCTTCAATTACCTTGAAGAGCGCCTGCATATCTGTCTTCTCACGGTTTAAGGTTTCATCTAGAACACTCAGCTGTGGCTCATACAGACCCGGCTGCGTCCGTGCAGCAACGATTTGGCGCAGACGGTTGGTGACCTTTCCCACAGTGGCTGATACCATCTCAAAAACATGTGTTCTCGCCAAAATCGTCCCGGCTTCGAGCTTGTCTACCAGTGCCCATTCAATGACGGATAGCGGTGTCAGGATAGTGTAATTTAGTAACTTGTCAATGATATTGATGCCGATTCCTGGCTGATCGGTCCAATATTCCATGACAGAGGTTATAATCTGGCGACGTGCACGAGTGGACTTGGGGCCAATGGCTAAAAGTCGTTCCTTGTTTCGCTCAATGCAAGATAGTACGTGAGAAAGTGATTTTGACCCAACGAAGCAAATCGCTGTGACGAACACGTCTGTTGAAGGTAGCATAGGGTCCTCAACCCCCATCGCCCTAGCTTGCTCTTCAATAGCATTGATTATTGGCAGAATATCATCATCAGTTGCTTTCTTACGGATGAGCTGCATAATTTCTGTGCCTTCGTTGGCATAGGGTGTGGCTATCGAGGGCGATGATAAGTCAACAAGTTCTTAAGAGGTCCACGACAGGATTGGAGCGCATGAACTTACTGTCTAATGAGTATTTGAAGTCGGGAGTATCTTTCTCCTTGCCTTCTGTAATCAAGTCTTGATAAGGGTCTGGAAGTGTTCCTCTAATACGCTGGGCAAAGCTTAACCTGATCTCTTTGTCCAGCGCGCCGATTATAAAGGCCATCCTTGGGTGAACTGAGGAAAGTTCAAGGTCATCGATCCTTTTCCAACGGTTAGCTCCTCATTCTGTCAATTATTATTATTGTAATGATGATTTTTCCTTTCTTTTCTTTTTGACTTAAAGACAAGGATCTGTATCGTTACGGTGGGACTGACCATTCACTCCATTTCCATGTGAACCCGAAATTGCTTAGATGATGAGCAAACCAATCCAAGAACCGATGGCTTAAATCCAGATCAATCGTTTCCAAGCTGCGATAGAGAAAACGAATCGCACGCCCCAAGCTCGGAGCGATAGCAGCCGGTGCAATCTTACAGCACTCTGTGAGAACTGAGTGGTAGTACACAAGCTTGTGCTGCGGGGAAGGAAGTTGGAATAACTGGGAGAAAACTGCATCCACGGCCACGTCTTCGGGCTTCCACGTCGGGCGGTCCCCAGAGATATCGCGTAATCTGTCAAAGGGCGTTGCACGCTTCACGAAAATATGCGGTGCAAAGTAACAGTCAATGTCAATGAGATACTTGGCAGTGGCAATACGGTTGAAGTCAAGGATGTTGATCGTGTCAACAAGAGCGTCCCGCAGCAGAGATGACGCAATATCTGACGTTGGAGGGACAGTTTCCACCTCTTCGTTGGAATACACGGACATATAAACTTCAGGGAAAATCGCTCTGGATCCATTTCGTACAGGGTCGGGCACAGTTATTTGAGGGAATGCATGCTTTGCGCCGGAATCCAAGGGTTTCTGCTCTTCTTCATTGTCGCGTCCACCTTTCCACGGTCGAGGAAGACATGAGAGTTCCCAATTCCGGCTGGCTTCCTGCTGGAGTTGACTTTGAAGAAGGCTAATAACGCTTTGTGCTGCAGATGGAGTGTCATATTCTGGGCTAAACGGATTAACCAAATCCACCAACGCATGCGGGGTCGATGCAATGATGTCGGTCTTTTCAAGAAGGGCATTTGCCCGAGCCTCAAAACCTGTTATGGGAGAAGCCATTATATACGGAATGGTGAAGAGAATTATCTTCACGAGTTCCAGTCCTAGCAACTATACATGACTTATTAGTGGATGTGCACATATGGATAGCGTAACTGCTCACATCTTCAGAAGAGGCTGTCTGCAGAACAACGGCCCGCTCAAAAAGCTCTTCCAGGATTGGAAAGATGCCGTCTCCTTCATATAATATCTGTAGGCATCCAAGAAACCGGAGAAGAAGCTTTACTTCACGCCACGCCCCGTTGTTGATGTAGTGCTGCAAGTATTCGCTCGCTTTTGTAAGGACATGGGACACAAGCTCCGATCTGTAGACATTGGCAGACAAGACCGTCGCTGCGATAAAGGGGATTTTCAGGGGCTGCTCGAGGACACTGTCACGCGTCGCATTGTGTTAGCGTTCGGACGAGAAACTAGGGCCAGCCTAAGCGTACAGGTCAACTGAAATATCAACAAAGGTCTGTCTCAGCTCCTCATCCTCATAATTCTCGGCGACGCTTTTTGCAATATTCACAACATCGTCTTCGGCTCTTCTGGCGGCCTAACGAGAAAGTGTAAGTTATGACATTAATAACCAAAAACTAAACGCCGAAGCAGAGTGATCGTACAGATTCAGCAATGGTTAATAGCTGTCTTCGGACCTTCGCAACCAAAGGTTCTTCATATCTGCGCCTCTGGCGTCGATCATAGTCATCGTCTTCTGTATCCGCAGTAATTGTTAGTGGAAAGAGCTATTAAAAACATGACGATACGAGAGATCAAGAGAAACAGTATTGTGGTAGATGCCATAGCTTGTTTTTGTTTTAAGCAATGAGAAAAAAACTCCATACTAACCTCTATAGCGCCTTTTGCGACCACCCTTAGGCCCGTGATGACGGCGTTCGTAGTCAACCATAGCTATCTATTACTGGGCACGTAGGTCTTTTCTGCCTTTGCCGATTGGGACGAGCTAGATATTGAGGGAGACACTGTCAAAGCTGTATGCTGTAGGTGGGACACATAAAGGTGCGTCGACAGACACTTTCACCGTCGGTAAAGTCTATCAGAGCAAAGATCACGCGTGCGCATGGTTCTAGAAGCAAAACATCGCCGGCACCCTGAGCTCAACAAGGCTCGGGATAAGGGATGCTCCGTGCCGCTGATTATATAATATGATGATATAGTTAGTTAGTTAACTAACTTAACTAACTAGTTAACGTAACTGGTAAACAAGCTGCGCATGCAAGCCAGCTACGCAGCTCTGTTTTCCATACAAATTAACCTATTTTCAATACTCGAATATCTCAACAACCAGAGATAGTATGGATATAATACTTAATATGTAATATCTAATATACTAGATAAATCTAAAAATAATTTTTAAAAATTTTCTCTTATATATTTATACTATAAATAAAAAATACTAAAAATACTGCTATATTATAGAATAATAAGATTATTATTACTTATATAAGCCTCTTTCTTTAATTATATAAAGATTGAATACAGTTATATACAATATTTCATTCTTATAATATTACAGTGCCTTATTGTTGAGATATTTAAGTATAAAAATAAGTTGATTTGTATAGAAAACAGAGCTGGCTTGTATGCGCAGCTCGTTTACCAGTTACATTAACTAGTTGACTAACTTAACTATTAGTTAACGAACTATTCCATAATTACCGTTACACGCTAACATATATCACGATGTACCATTAACGAATTACCTCTCAAAAACAGAATGAGAGACCAGCTGGCCATTTGTTTTACACGTATATCCTGTTGTCCCATTTTGAGATGTCTTAAGATCAGATCTAGTTCGAACCCCATCTCTAAACTAGCTAAACAGCTATGATATCTATCACAAACATGGAGTGCCGCATTTCACCTTCTGCCTTTGCCACGGAGCTGTATGGAAGAGCGATATAACGATCAACTCGGATTCTTCGCCCATTCACCTAGAGTACAGCTACCGGGAGCCGTTTGAGGCCCACTGGCACTTATATAGTCGTCGATGAGCATGACCCATAGACCTCCTACATTCATAGACCATCCCGACTATCGGGTGAGATATATACCAGAAAACCCTGGAAATAAGCTTGCAATTACAGCGTAAGACAATGAATGACGGAAATTGGAGGGGCCAAACCATGCAATTACAAGACTGTGGTTATACACACTAACGAATGTGACGTTCCAGGTGTACGTAGAACTCTAATAGAAGGAAGAGAAGAGAGAAGTGGCGAGGAGAGAAATGGTGAGGGGGAAGAGAAGGGCTAAGAAATCAAAAAAAGAAAGAAAATAGTATATCAGTCGTCTGCTTCGGAACTAACTATGCACCAACTTCATCGTCGAGGAATATTATCATTCGATCCAAACATATGAAGCCGGAGTTGTGAAATGCGAACAATGAGTAATTCAAGGGAGATAAAAAGAAAGGCAAATGGGACGAGTATGAGGGTAGAAGACAAACAGTAAAGAATATTTAAGGCGCAAAAAGAAAGGCGAAAGAGAGAAGAAAAATGAAGCGAAGGCACAAATATGAGGGCATTTCTAACGCTGCAAGTCGAGGGAATTAAACCTCCAATACCTATATTCAAAGCATGCTCACTAGCACATGATTGATGTGCATCCAAGCATAAAAATCCTCAACGATATCTGACGTATTTGTAGGATATCCATCTCTCCGCCCTTCTCCATAGGACTTGTGACATTTATAACCCCATTGACTCGAGAGATGAAGCTATGCAGAAATGAATCCCGGAAGGCAGACTCACGCGGTAAGGGTATCACTTTTTTTTTCCAAGGGCTGTCTCTGACACCTCAATAACTCCAGGCTATGACAATACATCACCTTTGCATGGAACGGCCATGCTCCAATACCCGCCTTTTTTTTTTCTCTTTTTCTTTCTTCCCCCTTAAAAGAAGAAGAAAAAAAAAACCCCCAAGCTGTGACAGAGGGTGGCACTCTCCCTTTCGACATTTTCTCCTTGTTTCTGTCCGCAAAATTTTTTTGTCTTTTTCTTTTCCTGTTTACCATTGTAATTGTCTGAAAGTCATCCCCTCCCCGCCGCAGAGAAACCAGCTCCCAGATGTCTCGCCAATGGAATAGGGTCTGCAACTGAAATGACCTCTCCCAGTTTAGAACCGCCTGGTGCATCAAAGTGAACTCGTACGGCATAGCATCAGGTTCTCGCGCACACGTGCATGTGACCGTACTATGAACAACCGTGTACTTCGTAAGCATCGCACTCCTTGGCTCAATCAAGGCGTGCCATCATTTCGTCTTTCGTTAGGGGTGTAAAGTTATCGATATCTATCCCGCGGGCTTCGAGGGCAGGGCGTGCATGAGGAGGAATAAGCCGACTGTTCATGGCCGGTGCGATAGAAAGTTCTGCTAAGTGGTTAGCCATGTTGCTAGTAAGAATGGGAAAGAGAGAACAGACCATGTTGAGAGAAATCAAACAGATTAGGGAGCTCTCGTGATGGCACATTCTGGTGACGGGAATCAGGCAGCCGAGTGCTAGGATCCCTGAGTTCATCAAAGAATGGGTGAACCATCGCTTCAATGGCTGACAGTCGCTGCGTTGGTGTATATTCCAGCAAGGCGGAGATCAAATCAATTGCCTCATGAGGAGCTCTCCGGAAAACCTGCCAGAATTGTGTTAGAACTTCGCTTGAGAACCCAAGGTAAAGGCAGATATACTTTGTTGAAAGGGTGTGGCTTGATCTGCGGGAATTTGTGCTCCATGTAGTTGGGGTTCATAGTGCGAATCTGCTCCCGAGTGGGAGTACCAAGGACTTTAATGATCTCCACCAGTTGATCAATCCCAGATTCACCTGGAAAAAGTGGTTGCCCCAGCATTAACTCGGCCATTACACAACCAGTAGACCACACATCTGGAATCGTTAGTAATTTCACCAATGTCAAACGGCTGGCACTGGGCGATTACCAATCTTCGTAGTGTAATTTGTTGCGCCAAAAATTAATTCGGGTGCACGATAATAGCGGGAGCAGATATACGAAACATTGGGCTCGTTCTCAACTAAGATCTTGGCAGAGCCAAAATCACATAGCTTCAAGATACCAGTGCTTGGGTCAAGCAAGAGGTTTTGAGGTTTGATATCACGATGGCAGATGCCCTGTGAATGAATGTATGCCAGAGAACGAAACAATTGATATATGTAAAGCTTGACCTCCAACATGGGCATCGTAGTCTTCAACTTGTTGAAATATCGAGATGCTCGATAAACTGTTTCTGGTACGTATTCCAGAACGAGGTTCAAATACACTTCGTCCTTCTGCAGAGGATTGATAGCATGGTTAGCAAAGCACAAGGGCAACTATTCTGCATAAAGAGGGGAGGCACATACCCTTTCACCATTGGAGTAATAGAAAGCTTTCAACTCTACAATGTTGGGATGGCGGACAATCCGCATTATTTGTAACTCACGGTTCTAAGTGAACCAATATCAGTGATGCTCCATTGACAAGAAGATCAACTTTCGGCGAGCGACCACGTACCTTGAAGCGTTTGTCTTGTAGGACACGTTTAATAGCAGCGTCCTCGCCGCTGGGCATCATCTTTGTCTGGAAGACCACCCCAAACGATCCATTGCCAACGATCTTACACTGCGAGTACGAAATTTCCTTGGTCTCCCCTGTTAGTCCATCCTGGACCTTCTCACGGACGACTTCTACATAGCGAGTTTAAGAGATGAAGTCAGTAGACGGCTTTCATATCCATGTACCAGCAATTGGGAGGATGGTGAGCACTTACCACCCATGCGCAAACTCGAGAATACCCCAGGCCGGTTCTGTGACATCACGGGCGTTTTGTGGGGTTAGCACAAAGCGGCAAGTTGGACAGCGTAATAGAGGATACAGAGGGCTGCAGTTTAACAGCGGATGGTGGCAATAGACGCAAATGTAAGGTGTTTGAGCCGTTTTGAGCAGACTGTAATCGGTGGAGCACTGGCTAGGAGGGGTGCTCTGGATGGGCGGATATCCGAACGGTGGGTGTTGAGTGGAGGTGTCCGTGAGATGGAAGGTTGAGAAACAGACGGGCGAATAGCAAGAGGGAAGGCTCAAGCCAGTAGGCGGATCGAGTGCCAAGAGTGCGCACCAGAGCAGGGAAAGCCCCCCAGAAGTTCGCAGAATAATAACCCTCGTGGTAGTCGACCAAGAGAAAGAAGGGGTATGAAAATAATATTGCAGCTATGCAAGAGGGTTAAAAAAAGGGTAAGTGGAGTGAAATGGGGGGAAAGGAAAGGGAAGAAAAAAAAAAGTTGAAGTGTTTAGTCTCACCACTGAGGTAGGCGAATGGTGGCAGTAGTAGTAGGGAGGATAAGGAAGCAGTAGGTAGAGGGATGGGTCGGAGAGGGTGGAAGAGAGGAGGGCGAGCAGGTGACGTTGATGGAGCGACAAAGCCCGAACACGCGAGGGCTGCAGGAACGCGGGAATAAAGCACCGGGAGAGGAGAGGAAAAAGGTAAGGAACTCACGAGCCAACCCCGATCGAACAAATGAATCCAATGATGGGGAAATTTCCACCCAAGAAAAAAAAGGGAAAAAAAAAAAAAGAAAAGAAATTGAGGGGATGAGGATCCAGCGCTGTACAGCAGCCTGCGAAACTAAACAAATCAGTGGAAGTGAGTAAATTATTGACTTCTTGAGAGGTACCAAAAGGTAATGACCAAGTGAACTTGAAAAGCGAAAAAATTGTAAACGGCACCCGTCTTAATATTTGGCTGTACTATGTATTATACGTACGTGATAGTGGTAAGGTCCGGAAAACCAATGTTTTGGGTTTTAGTGAGGGGCGGAAGTTAGTAGATAGTTTTTAGGTAGTCTACCTTGCTAGGACAGGCTGGGCAATGAGCATGGAGCTGTGGCAGTGTGTGGAGAGAGGCAAGAAGATTGTGGATGTTGGCTGGGATTATTGGTATAGTCAATTCAAAGGATTTCTCTTTATGGCTCCCGGCATAAGAACAGCACCTTGTACACAGTAGTGTTGGTTCTTGAGATGATTATAAAACCTATCTAATGCATCAGTTGCATGTTATTTGAGAGGAGAAAATACCCTCTCTCTTTACCTGCATACTCCGTGTTCATTAGTACAGAGGGTATCCAAACCAAAAAATAAAAGGAGGGGAGGGGCCTAAGTAATATATGTATCGCAGCATGTTTTATTACATATAATACCCGAGTGCGGTCTAATCACATGACACCATTAGGTACTGTACGAAGTATGCATGTATTGACAGTATCCACCTTGTACGAATGCCCTATTCGAAGCAAGGCAAGAACTTAAGTGCTTAAAGTCTATTGAGCACCGAGGTCAATGCAGCAAAAAATGGATCTGTTTAAGATGAGACACACCTTCCATATCAGAAACTGGGAGTTGTAGTCTTAGGTAGATTTTATGATGACGGGGGGTTGCGCCGATGTGGAGTAACTGCCCGAGGTTGGGCGCAAGTGATGGACCAAAACGGGGAGCAACACCCTGACCAGATGACCTTCTTCCGGGGCTCGGATCAAAATTATTACAGTAATTTCGCCTCTATTTGAGCTTTGTTCAACCTGTGTGGTGGTCACCATGACTTGATAGCCCTTCAGCTCTTAGTAAGTCAAAATGGTCCATTCTTAAAGGGTGTACTCTCCGTGACATTTGTCTATGTATTGCTGGAGATTGGTGTTCTCTACAGATCTTTGTATAGGAAAGCATTGCAGATCTGATATATAGATAGGCCATTGATATTTTTATCATAAATTATTTCTGACCTGTATTAAAATACTGACTTCCCTAAATGTATAGCCCTTCTTATGTGAACAGCTTCAGTGAACAGGCAAACAGCAACGCCATGTGTTTGGCCCGCTGCTGTCAAGTGACCAAGTGTGATTTTCACTGGAACCATTCTTATTGGCTACACATGGGTGCCTCCTACGTATACTACTAGTACTAGTTACCAGATCACATACACCTTACCAAAACTGCCACATCTTTAGACCAGGGATCTAGATCTCAAATCCTTTTCTTTCAGCTGCTTTGTTTTCCCTCTTCCTCCTTTCCCCCTATTCTGGAAAAATAGAAGTCATGTGAAGACTTAGCTTCCCAATACAGTTCCTTATTTAACACAATTGTATTCAGGTAACGCGTATGACAGCAGCTTGGAGGTTACGCCACTCTCTATGTACCTTTAGTAGGGAATACAGAGTTACCTAGTGGTATGTGTCAGGTGTTCAGGAGCTTTGACCAAGCTTGGTCCTAGCATAATACAACCAACCACGACATCTATCAAGAGGGGCCTGGCTGGTCAACGGCAATGTAAGGTAGGTAGTTACCTTGTTAGTTAAGACAATATGACATTGACTAACCAACTTCAGTGAAATACACTGTTGTGTTCATCAGTACATACCAAGCTTGTTATGTTGTCCCTACTCTGGGTATAAGACTGTTCAACCATTAAATTCTCGGCACTAGATCCAGGAAATCATGAAAGTCTATGGGTTTCAACTGAGATAGCTCATGGTTTTTAAGCACAACATACTTTAAATTCAGTATAGTACCTATCCGGTTTCAAGCTGTTCTACTCCTAGTCTGGACTCACTCATGACTATGTCGAAGGCTACGATTGACTACATGTCTCCTTTACTAGAAGTTTACCTCACAGAAACACAAGTGGTCTTGATCTTGTCAAAGTGTTCTCATATTAGAATCAAAGACAAACCCCAGATAATCATCGAAAGCATGCCCGGCTACCATATGTAGTTAGGACTAATCATCAAATATACGTTCATATCCGTATCTCAGAACTAACCTTTGGAGAGGTGTCTATCCCTTATGGCCATAGGTATACCTGATGATCACAATAAATAGTTTGTTCTTTTGCAAAATTGCACCCCTTGCATATGTATTACACATAGTAATATCTACTTTCACCTACACACCAAATACACTTAAATGCCTTGTTACAGTCAACTACTTGACTCAGCTTTTCCAGTAGGAAATTGAAGCGCAACATGTATTTAGGGTGGCATTTCGGTCTTCTTGTTGAGATCGTGACTAGGTACAGGATATTCCGTTCCCTTTCTATTCTTTTTTGCGTCTCGGGCGATTGCCCAATTCAGAACCATGGCGAAGTCAAAACTCACAAGCAACTGATGCTTAATCTCTGCATTCACCATTCCCTTCTCACATTGTACCAATTGAAAAATTTATCTCTAGACCATATCTCAAAATAAGATAACAAGGATGTTAGCCACATGCCACTGTGATGCCAGCATAGCATACTCTATAGGCATGTAGAACATGTTCAAAAATATAGTCAAAAGTCAACAAACAAAGCCAGTTAGCCCTTGAAGCTCCGCTGGAGACTTTTAGTTGTTGTACAAAACATTGGTATCGGTAATATTGTTTCAAATGATACTGTGGTTAGGAAGAAAAGTTATAACATAATTTTAAGCCCTAAGACTAAGATATACACCGAACCTGAGGGGTTAAGAAAATAAACATTATATCTATCTTAGTATTTCGTAGCTTGGTATTTACCTATACGCATTGGGGATCTTTCAGACCCATTGTGGACCGTAGTCGGATTTTGGCTAGAAAAGCCATTACCTTTCCTACTGAATTAGAGGAGAGAGTAATGTTAATAAAAATACTTAGTTCTACATGAATGGGTTACAATAAAAACTTATGACTGACTACCATAAAATTAAAAAGACCACACAGCCAAATTTTACAAATACATTACCAATATGTACTTATTTCATATATCACTGGTTGGCTAATTGCTCATGCCCCACCTTTGTGACTCGAAGAAGTCTTGGTTATGTGAGGATTCACCTAGTGCTCTTAAAGGATTATTTTCGTTGCATATGAGCATATTGTGTAGTAGAATAGTAGAATGATTTGCCTTGCCCTTTACACAGTAGAATACTATTTTCCTAGATAATACAGAAGCTAAGATCATTTGTAAGTTTTGTATCAGCACTATAAAGTACTAATAGTATCAAGCACCTGACTAATTAACCACCATCAGAAAAATCATGTACTATGGGGGTCCAAAAGTATGTGACCCCTATACTTGAAGGTACCCAGTGACTTTATTTGCATGGCACAAGAAGCTATGTGCCTTTGTGTATAGGGGGTCACATACTTTTGGACCCCCACTGTATTGTAAAGAGCTATTCTCTTTACAGGACATGAGATTGGAGCAGATTATAGATATGAATAGTCCACTGAAGTTTGTCTTGTTTATAATTACTATCAAATAACTTACTGGCGCTTTGGTACACAAGGCTGTACACCTCCTCCAGTTTCTAACCTGATCAGTATATCCATTGCCTGGTCTGCGGAGCATTTAATGGCCAGAAAGTCAACAGGTCAGTGGTCCATTGACCAAAATTCTCCAAAAGGTGTCTCACATGACCATGACTATCTGGTACTAGGTAACAATCTTTGAACTTGAGTAAAAATGAAAGATCAAAAGCAGCATTACCACCTATCTTAAATTTACTGCTTTTTTATTTTGTACCTAACCTGCAAACATACGCCATGGTTTATGTTTATTTCATATTTGCTTTGCTATCTATAGTCACATGTTAAATCTACTCTCTATTTCTACAACTTTCAGGATGAAGTACAGCCTTCCTTATAAATCTATGATCATAGTTCATGACAGCAGGGAGACTAGTATAAATAAAGAACATTTCAATGTTCATGATCAGTGCATACTCATCGGTTTTGTAATATATATACTCCAGGATGTACTTGCTTATCGTCTGTTGTAGATATGCAGCAGTACAGCAGCGCACTAGTAATG